CCATTTCCACTCTTTTGACTATTGTAAATAATGCTGCTTGAACATGTAGTACATGTACTTACTTCAGTTCTTTGAATTTCTTTTAGGAATAGACCGAGGGGTGGTACTGGGATCCTATAATTCTGTTTAAGTTTTTGAGGAGCTAAAAAGCATTTTTCAAGAGAGTCTGTACTGTTTTACATTCCTGCCAACAATGTACAGGGTTCCCATTTCCCCACATCCTGTTAACACATACTTTCAGTTACAGTAGACCTTTGGTAACTGTGAATACCTGGTTCCAAAGAGACACCATGGAGGAAAGACCGCACACCTCCAGATGCTAGAGCTCGGTGCTGCGCTGCGCATATGTGGTTCATGGTTCCCAGAATGCTGCCCAGCTTCTGAAGACATGCAACCTTTTTAACAAATCTCAAATTTTCATTTATAAGTTTGATTAAGCACATGAACCTTTACCTTGCTTGTGACGCACCATTTGCTTTTGGAGAGGCATACTGTATTTTCACAAAATTCAGGGCAGAGAAACACTCAGCAGATCCCACACCGACTTAAACACAACTGAGAACGTGGGGCTGGCTGAGAGCTTCTCCACGTCCACTGAGCCATGGAATGTAGGTATAGGAATTTAAAATTTTTGGTTTGGAAATCTCTTGATTTTTATTTTTGACCACCCTTAGTCAAACTGTGTGGAATAAATCAATGAATAAGGTGGGCTTACTGTATTTCTTTTTAACAGCCATTAGAGTGGGTATGAACTTAATTCATTGTGGATTTGCTTGTTAAATTTTTAACTTGCATTTCCATAGTGACTATTACTGCTGAGTACTTGTTACTGTTTTGTGTGTAAGTGAGAAAATGAAGGAAAAAGAACTTTGCTGTTGATGAGCTTATTTTAAAATTAGCTAATTGTCCGTTGAAGGAAAGACGTTTACTTATAATTATATGAGGTCACCTGTTCCTAATCTGAGGATTATGAAGCCATCATTTCTGTTCAGATGTTCATTATTTTCTCAAGACAAGTATTTCTCAATCAGTCTTTTGCTTCCAGGTTTGGTTTTAAATTGAGATTTTTTTCTTTTCTCCATCCCCTGGTTGGATGGTGACCATGGTTCTCAAAAGTGTCCACATCACCTGGACACTTGTTAGGGATTTACATTCTGGGACTTCATCCCAGCCTGATGAGTTGGAAACCAGTGGTCACCTCGGTGATCTATATTTTAATAAGCTTTTCACTTGGATGCACACAGGTTTGAGAACCACTACTCTAAACCAACACTTTTCAGTCCACAAAGGCACAGGGCACAAAGATGTGGCCCACAGCTTTGCCCTCAGTAACATCAAGTTTTTAGGTTAAATAGGCAGACCATATAAACAATTAAGTTGGAATCATTTTATAACTTCCTGTTTAAGAAATGTGCATAAATCAGATCATTTTACTTAGATGTTACTGTTCAGACAATAAATCATGCAAAAAAAGAGGTATTGTTTTAAAAAGTTACTGTATAACTTTGGTCAAATATTTAAAGAATTTTAGTGTTGCATGCCTTTGAAACATATTGTTCCTTTCATTTGTAATTAGACTTTGCCTTTTACTTCTTCGTGGTGTCCGTTGTGATGGTTTACACACTTAAAGATTAGACAGCAGGGCATGCAATCATTCCACCTTTACTGTAAATATTGACTCGAGAGAGAGAGGTTGCCTAAACCACATGCTCATTTGACTACAAATAGGTTTTTCCCAATCTGTGTTATTCAAATGGAGGTCATAGTTACATCTCCTTTGCAGAACTTCATGTGGATTTTACACAGTTATATGTTAAGGCATGTGTGGTACGTGATGAACACTTGTTAAATATTTTGTTTTATATTATTAGCAAAATCACTCTGTGTAAAATGGACTTTTTCATACATAGAATATTGTAACCGTCGAAGCTTTTGTAACTAATATATCTGGATCTCAAACCAGTAGCATAAGCAGTGTGTTCTTCCAAAGGTTAATCACCCACGAATGTCGCCTTTTGAGAGTGTATGTTAACAGGCGGTTCATTTTGTGACCAGAAGACTTTCAAACTCTTTGTATCCCACCGGGAAGAATCCGTGGCAGGACACATGGGTGTAAAGGGAGTTTATTAAGTTAGGGAAGAGAAATACAAAGGGGAGCATGGTGTGGCCCAGGTGGAATCTGGTGGCAAGATAGTGAACTTCTCTTTTATAGGTACTTTTAAAACTTATGCCTATCTATGGGATGGGAGGAACCAGGTGATTCCCATCAGTGAGTAGGGCGGGGCATGGACATTCCCTGCCAGGTGAGGGTGGTCTGGGCCGGCCCTGGGAAACCTATATATGAGTCCTGAACTTTCTCTACTTCTAACCTGCCTCAAATGTTCATGAAGAGTCACGGAGTTAAGTTATAAGGGACAGAGGGACATTCTGATAAGGCCTCTCCAAAATCTCCAGATCAGGATGAGCAGATAGTCAGGAGTGAATGTCCAGAGAGGAGCAGGGAAGTTTGAGGAAGGACTTTTTTAGGAATGGGAGTGTTGGATTTATTTATAGGCTGCAGGAGAAAGATTTTGTATATCATAGTTATTTTCCCATTCTCCGGATGACAGTGCAGTTGGTCCTTGATTTCGTTTGGTACATGAGAGTGTTATCTATTTTTAGTTTTGTAATTTGACTAAGTTCAATCCTAAAACTTGGATATTTATGAACATGTATTTAATGCCATTATTTACTGATAGAGTACAGAGAAAAGATAAGTTATTCAGATTCAGAAAATAATGTACAAAATTGACTTTTGAAGTAATGCTGCAAAGAAATTTTTACATTAAAATTTTCAGGAATGAGAACTTCGAGTTATTCAGAGTTCATTAATTACATCTCTACTTGCAAGTGTAGTTTTAGTCTTACAACAGTGACAGTTAATTAAATGTTTATTATCTGATGACCATTTATGAGAAAACCCACATTAGTTTCAAATGTAATAAAGTTACCATGACTTGTAATCACATCACTTGTTCTGAAAATTTTATAACTTCCCTAAGATTAATGAATATGTATGATTCTTGGGCTTAAACATGTTTGATTTGGGGTCAGGTAAAACTTGTCTAAAAATCTCTCTTCTGTCACTTAAATTTGCTGTTTTCATTTCCTCATTCTTCATCTCCCCTTTCCCCCTGCCATGAGATGGTGTTTGAACTCAGGACTTTGTACTTGTAAAGCAGTCACTTTACCACTTGAGCCACACCTCCAGTCCATTTTTGCTCTGGTTATTTTTTGGAGGTGGGAGTCTGGAGGGCTATTTGCCCAGGCTGGTCTCCAGCTATGATCCTCCTGATCTCAGCCTCCCAAGTAGCCAGGATTACAGGCATGAGTCCTGCCTCATTCTTTGTTTCTTTAGACTATGTGTGCCTTTGCTAACCTCTATAAAGATTTAGGGATAGAGTGGCCTCACACTGAATCTTGTGTGGGGCAGCCTGCCACAGGAGCGCCATTCAGTGAGCTTCATGGACATACTCAAAGAGGCATTCTTACAGACAGAAGCTAGACAAGGCCACTTTATCTGCCATTGGGGTTTTTTGATATGGTATCTAATTCCTTTATGCAAAGAAAAATCAGTTTTCCCTGGCACCTTATGATACAAGATGAAATTTGATCACAATTCTAAGAGCACAATTAAAAATTTTTTTTGATTCAGATTGAGTTCAAATATCTGGGACGCAGAATGTCTGATTTGTAGGTCTACCATAAAATCTAAGAATTTGTGTTTCTTTTCTCATTGCTGGTCCTGGGGACTGTACTCTTGAGAACCATTCTTCAGTAGTATGCTGCCTGACTTGGTTCTTCTGAGGATTAAGTGAGAGAATTTGCATGTCATGTTTGTGTTGATCGGCTGCTTACCATATCTTAGACACTATTCCAGGTTAACTCCTTTTTATCCTGACTTTAAACTTAGGAGGTAGTTAGATTGCAGGGGGAGGATATGGGTGTACGATCCGTACTTTTGAGAAGGAGACTGAGAAGAGATGCCCAGTGAAGAGGGTTCACAGTGTGCCAGTTTCAGAGCTGGTTGCCCTCATTAGTGTCGTTTGCTAAGCTGGTTTCAGGAAGCCAGGGTTCTTGGGGTCATCCCCAAGAGATTTCTTGCTGTAGGAAAGTTGGGAGAAAAGGAGACCTTTTCTTTCTTCACCAGTGTTTTGTGTTCTTGAAGGGCTGTTGCAGATTAGGCCTGGGAATTCTTGTTGTTATACTAGCATTCTGAAGGGTAGATGGCACACTTTGCTATTTTGATGAGTGATGTGGTTCTGGAAATGACCCATAGTTCAGGTGAGCAGTGAGATCTTTGATACTCATTTAAGACAAAATGACTTAAAGAGATCGTCTTAAGAGAAAGTGCATAAGGCAGTTTGAAAAGGTGAGATTGTATTGGTATTGGAACACTTTTTGAATTTGGTTCCATTAAAAACGGTAGAGTGGCTGATTTGTACAAGATCCTTGTATAAGAATAAGACATGTTTTTCTTCCTCTGAAGTTAATTTGTGTCAGAACATCCAAATCTGTTTAGTTTAGTATAGCTTGATGAATATTTTTGTCTTGGAGATACAGATAGCATTTCCAGGATGCCAGTTTTGAATCCTGGGACGAGTTTATGTTTTTAATGGGATATCTGTTTAGCTACAGAGCTAGGGCTCGTTCCCAGGCTTGCTTACTCTCAGCTTGGGGCTTTCTCTGATGTAAGATGGCTTGCCTTATTTGATTTATTTATTGTAGAGATTCATCTTCTAGTCTTAAGCAGTAAACTCTTCTTGATGTATTTTACTTTTTTAAAATATACATTTATTTATTTTATTTTTGTTTTTTTTTCCTGGAAAAACCAAACTCTGGAAACAATGAAGAGCCAAAAGGAAATGCAACCTAGACACTTAATTTGCAGTTAAGATTTTGACCTATGTGGCTTAATGGAAAAATCACAGTGTATTTCTTCTGGTTCTGGTTTGTTGTAGATTAACGAAGCCCTTGTCATTTGCTGATTGTGTTGGGGATGAGCTGCCGTGGGGATGGGAAGCAGGATTTGACCCTCAGATTGGTGTCTACTACATCGACCACATCAACAGTAAGTTTTCCTTTTTGGTAAAAGTAAACGTATTGAAAATAAATCTCCAAAAAACGGTAGTCATACAAAAGGATAAACATTTTACAAAGTGAATTTCCTTATTTTAACCCCCCCATTTTCTTAATGATTAATATGTAACTGAAATGCCCATTTGGGTATTGGGGCATGTATAGAGAACTGTGCTTATGGGAACAGAGAGGGAGAGAGAATGTCTGGTCTGTCTGCTCTATCTGCCTACCAAGCAGGGAATGAATTTTCTTCTCTAGCACAGGTCTGTGGGCTTGTGGAGAACTACAGCAATTGGGTTCTTCTTTCTGTGACCCCTGTAGTTTCAGATTGTGGTTCCTCTTGTACTTGCCTCAGAAAGAGTTGGGAATGGGTACAGTGTGGCTTCAAGACCCAGCTGGTGGGAACGGGGTCGCCTTGGGGTGGGATTGGACCATCATTGACTCTGAGAGACAGCGTAGCTGTGGAAGAAACCAAAACCCCTTTCTTCTTTCTGTTTCCTGATTTCTTTGTGGCTTGGAAAAGGAAAATCTCTCAGTTTAACACCTTTTAGATCTGTCATTGATAACGCCAGGGCAGAGAATTACCATGGCCACAAACGCTTTTAAAAACACATACTTGAGGGGTTTTTTAAACTATATTTGTGTATATGCATGTACATGTGATTACATTAATGCTTATTTCCCTGTTAGTCCCTTTAAAACTTTATCCAGATTGTAGCATACAAAAATCACAGTGACTCACTTTGCTTATGTCACTTAAGTTTAATAATTTTACTTTTATAGATTTTGGGGAATATGTAACAAATTTATTCCCTATTGTCTTATTTCTTGAGATCTATTCTTAAAAATTTTGCAAACAGAAGTCTTTGTTGTCTTCAGAAATAATATCACTATAGAAAAGTGATTTATTGGCTTGGAGATATGGCTCAGATGGTAGAGCACCTACCTAGCTAGTGTGAGACCCTGAGTTCAAACTCCAGTACCACCAAAAAAAAAAAAAAAAAAAAGTTTTTGCATTACATTTTTGGAGAAGCCAAAAATAGCATCTATTAATTAATAGCAGTGCTTTCTCATATGTAGGTAAGATGGAGGGGTGTAAAGGATCATGCACTGAGGAACTAAGCCAGCTTTTCATAGAGCACATACAGCGTGTCATGGAACATAGTAGGACACAGTTTGGGAATAGTTTTCATGCATACATTAGTTCAACATACAGTTTCTACAAGCTGTTGCATCAGTCTCTTTATATGATTAAAAGAAATGACTTTTTTGTAGAGATGTGTTCCCTCTTGAAAATTTTTAAAAATTCCATAAAGAATTCTTAATTGTGTGTGTGTTTGAGCGTGTGTGTGTGGGGGTGTGGGTGTGTGTGTGCGCACGTGCAGTGCTGGGGACCCAGGGCCTTGCATGCTAGAATTTCATTCTTTGTTAAAATTAGCTTTTAATTTTGTGTTTTCTATTTTTTTCTTTATTTATTCATATGTGCATACGTTGTTTGGGCCATTTCTCCCCCCTGCCCCCCGTTTTCTAATAAACATTTCTTATTACTGTATTATTATATACAGTATATTGTTTTATATGCAGTATATTGTAAGGTTTATTGCTTATCAGTGATTGAAACCAAATGTCATAATCTATAAGAGAGGGATGGACTAATTTTGGTAAGATTAACTTCATTTTAGATGGTTATGTTTTATCCTTATGTCATTATAAGTAAGCAATTCAGTGGAATATCCGAAATGTGTGGCTATTTAACTCTTTTATACTTATTTTAGATGGATAAAACTTAGTTTTCTTTCTTTAAAGAAATATTTGGGAAACCAAAATCCAACTTAGCCAACCTGATTCAACAGAAATAAACTCTCATGGAATCAAAATTTGATGAATTCTCCAGCTTTCCTCCTACCACCTGCAAACTCTTAGGTAACTAAATCCACTTACAGGATTTCTCAGTGGAAGAGCAATTCTTCTGCACCCCTCACCCCACCCTGCAGATGCTTCTTGGTCACTTTTCTATCCCATCCTTTCCTGTTTGGTATCTTTACCAATTCTTTCCTGATTTTTAAATTTTCTCTCACCAGTTCCAGTGTTGTCTTTGTTTTAATATATAAACTACAATTCTCAAAATGAAAATAAACCAAAACTACAAAAAGAGAAAGAAGTAGCAGTAAATTTCTCCCCACTCATTCAGAACCATCCTTCAACTCAGATCCCTTACCAGCTATGGTCCTTTCTCCTCCCTTCACAGCCAAACTTACTGAAAGCTGCATGACCTTCACTTCCCTCAGTGCTCCCCATCATCTCGCAGAAACTATTCTGACCTTGGTCATCTGACACCCCACAGAAGGTCAGCCAAACAACACTGTCTTCCTTGTCTTCACACAGTGGATTAGTCCATCTTGCTCTCTACCCTTTTGGATTTCTACTGAGATTGGACTGCTCCTGCTCAGGTTTCTCTTGCCTGTCCCTTTTTCACCTGTCCCTGTTAGCAGGATTTCTTAAATCATCTTCTGCTCTTTATGTTTTACAGGTCTTCATCGATGATAACTTTTGTTACTTCCTTCAGGCTGTTGGTTGCACAATTTATTCAAGTCTTTTGCAGAGTTCCAGATGCATATATTTGATTTCTTACAAAGTTCCTCCCAGTCTGCCCCCACTGGCCTCTCTATTTTCATCTCCAGCCCTACACTGGTGCTGGAGGATCCTTTGACAGCACTTGTACATCCTTGGCTTTCTACCTTTGTTTGTTTCTGTTGGTCCAGCCCCAGAATTCTCTGCCCAACCACTAGGCCTTCCTTTTTCACCAACTACTACATCCTTCTATGATTGGTTTGTCCAGGTATCACCACTTCCCAAAGCCCTTCTTTACTACCCACTCTACCTCACACCTTCCAGCCCAATTCTGTATTAAATTAGGTGCTTATTCCTGGTATTTCTGTAATACTAAGTGCATAGGAATTTTTAAAAAGCATTATTATGTTGCTTTTAACTCATCTGTATGTTTTCTTCACTGAATTGTGAGCTTCTTGAGGGCAGTGACTGCATCTTTTATATTCTTTAGCCTTGAGAGCTGAGGATAATGATAAACACTGAAATTTTAGAAGGAAGAGCTTTGTCGTTTAACTCACAGAATAAAAGCTGTTTTCTTTAAAAGGAATTGAAGTATATTTCAAGTATAAATTATGCTTCAGAAGCACCATTCTGAATACATAAAACCTTGATTATCAGACATAAAATTTTAAGTCTACCACTTTGCTTTAGTGTAGTAATTGTAACCTAGTATCCTGATAGATTTACTGTGCCCTAAAGTGTCCAAATTACCCGCAGCAAGTAGTTTACTCACTGAGAAAGATCTGATCCAGTGTCTCATTAATCTTCAAGACATTCCTGCAAAGTAATTTAGGGAGCAAACCGTATTATCTTTTCCTAACAGCTGGTCCACACACATGTTATATTTTGGCATTGTATACTTTCAGCATTATTTTCTCTTTATTTAGATAAAAAATGAAATAAAGAATGTTTGGCTATTTAATACTATTCCTGTGAAGCACTCTTAAATATTAGAAGCAAAAGATTTGACCTTGACAATGACAGTCATTTTAGGCCATGTGTTTTGGTTACCACTTACCCTTTACTGGATGTATGTTGTATGACAGAGTATAGACATTGGTCAGAGGATGTTTGTGTCTCCCTGGAAGGTAACTATGAGCTGTTGTTTATAAGGTTTTGATATTATTACTACAATCAGAGGGATACCACTTTTTGGTGGGGTTTCAGTTGCACTGTGTTGTTTTTTTTTTTTCTTTCTTTCATTTTAGTAATCAAGGTGTTGTTTACATTCATGAAACTGCACAAATTTTGTGTTATTTACTGTGTAGCGACAGATGTGTAATCCTCATTAACTCCCACCCCAGTCAAAATACAAGGTATTTCTCTCACCCAGTGAGTTCCATCTTGCACTTTCCAGTGGGCTCCTCTCTACTGCTGCACACACTGTGCAGATTTCTGTTGCATAGCCTTGTTTGCCCATTCTAAAACTTAATGTAAAAGGACTCTGCTCAATTTTGGGAGTAGCTTTTTTCACTCCACAATTTAAAGACTACACTACTGATTCAAATAATAGTATGGGGTAATATATTTAGTAAGTGTATTTGAAAGAGCTCATATCTGTAACTGCTAAAAGTCAATGTTAAAAAGGCAAACAACCCCATTTAAAAATGGGCACCAAACTTAGACACATCACAAAGATGCAGCAGTAGCCTTGTTTATATTCATCTATGAGATTATGTATGTGGTAGTATATTCCTTTTTATTGATGAGAGCAAAACAGTTTTCAAGATCTATTCTGCAATTTCAATATGGGGATATTATGAAAAGGCTGCTGCTATGAGCATTGTTATATATGTCTTTTTAAAATTGTGGTAGAAAAATGCAAAATTTATTATCGTGTGTGTGTGTGCACGTGCGTGTGTGTGTGTGTGTGTGTGTGTGAGAGAGAGAGAGAGAGAGAGAGAGAGAGAGAGAGAGAGCGAGCACTGTGGTGATCAAACCCAGGGAATGTGCAGCTTGGCAAGTGTTCTACCACCTCCCCAGTCCATTAGCTATTTCTCAGTATATCAAGACACAGTGTTGTGCAGCAACAAATCTCTCCTCATTTTTCAGCTTGCAAGACTAAAACTCTATCCATAAGACAGCTTTCTCACCCCCTTCTTTTTTGCTTCTGGCAACCACCATTGTTTCTGATAGAAGAATTTGACTACTTCGGATACTTCATCTATTGTTTGAAGTAAGGATTTGTGATTATAATTAATCTGTGTTATAGAATGGACAGAATTCCTTCTTTTGTAAGGTTTAGTAATACTGTATTGTAGGTATATACTGCATTTTCATCATCTGTTTGTCCGGTGATAGGTATTTAGGTTGCTTTGAGCTCATAGTTATTGTGAATAATGCTGCAGTGCACATTAGTGTGTGAATGACTCTTAGATCCTA